ATCCTGATCTTTTTGGAACTGAACACCCAATGCTCACGCTCCCCATGTACTTAAGCCATAAAACCTGCTTCATTTTGGCCCTGAACCACAATTCATAAAAAGGACATTTAGCGCACCTCTCAATTGGTGCACCATGGAAAAGGGATTTGCCCCAATCCTTTGGCCAGGTAGCCTCAGATAAAGTCGCTGTCTTTTTCCAAGCCTCCCATTTGAGGTGTTTGTGTACAATAAAATCCCCGTTTTAGAAGTCAGCACCTGCTCCCCAGGTCAACCCAGAAGCTCTGGAAACAGAAACAGGGGGGTCCTTTAGGATCCCCGCATCCCGCTTCCTTTCCAAAGGATCTGGGGCTGCAGAGAGTTGGTCGGGAAACGTCCAATTGATGGCAGCCTCGGAGGAATCGCCCACCCGGGTGTGAAGGGCTGGGAACTCATCACACAGGCCCCATTAATAATGCCTGGGCAGAGTAGATAAACAAATAAACGGGCCCGGCTGATTGATGGCCTCGGGCTTTAAAAGAGGTGCTCCATTGCCACTGGGCAAGACTCTCTGGGGACAGGCCGTGTTTCTTCTTTGGCTGTAGCCCCCCTCCACCAACCCACCCACACCCCCACCCAATTCAGCAGCTTGAAACCTGTTCCCCCTCTGCGCTCAGCCAAAGCCCCCTGGGCCTGATTAGGGGAGGCATTCTGGATGGCCCCAGAGAGTCCTCCACTTCCAAACATCTGCTCCGTGTGTGTGTGTGTGTGTGTGTGTGTGTGTGTGTGTGTGTGTGTGTGTTTCAGTCTTGTGTTCATGACCCATATTTCTGAAGCTCTCATTTCTCATTTCGGAGCTGCGGGGGGGGGGGGGAATGGGAGAGCGGGAGAGGATAGGCGAGAGAGAGAGAGAGAGAGAGAGAGAGAGAGAGAGAGAGAGAGAGAGAGAGAGAGAGAGAGAGAAAGAGAGAGAGACGGAAACAAAGAAGAACGTTTTTCAAGATTAAACAACTTGCCACGAAAGCTTTTGTTAAGGAGTTATGGAGGCCCACAATGTGTTTTTTTGGGGGGTGGGGGTGGAGGGAGACACTGGGACAGGGAGTCTTTATTTATTACCCAGGCCTTTTGCCCTCCGCAGGATGGTGTTGGTTATAGGTAGTCTTGGACGTTAACGACTGCAATTGTGCTAAGCAAGACAGTTGTTGCAGCGAGTCGCGACCCCGTTTTTGACCCCCTTTTTTTCACGCGGCTGTTAAGCGAATCACGAGCGTGGTTAAGCGAATTGAGACGTCACTAAGCGAATCAGGCTTCCCCCCGTCGACTTTGCTTCTCAGGTGCTCCTTAAGGAAGGCCGCAAGTGGCACTCTCGGCATGACGGTTTGCCAAGCCCCCCTGGGGGGGGTTGATCCCGTGGCCATGAGGATGCTGCAACGGTCATTAATTGTGAGAACAGAGGACGGGGAGTCCTCCGCATACAATCACAACGGAGTTAACTATAGCTGTTATATCTTGTTACCGCTTCCTCAGAGACATGCAAATGGGATAGGCGGTGGAGAAATTTGATAAATTGATCAGAATCAACACTTACAGCCCAGGATCTGCCCCGTCACAAGCAGCAATTCAAACCACTTATTTGCCTTTCACTATTCAGTCCAGCCTCCCAATTATAAAAACTCAGGTGTCCTTGTTAACAAACCTCTTTTTACAAGTTTTCCATACACCATCCGAGGGACTCTCGTTGTTCGGAGAACGCACTTCCAAGAAATGATGGAAAGATGGGACACCCCACCACAACCAACACTTAAGGTCCAATCCCCATTTTACTCAACCTACTGGCTACCGTTCAAGCCACAAGAAGGACGTTGTTTCTCGGAAGACAAATACCCCAATTGTCTCTTTCGGCGGACCGTGTCATATGGCGAAAGCTTGCTTTATTACTATTTCACAGCATCAGCCAGAAGCAAGCTACACCTACATTCACTGATATTTTTAAACTCAAGATGCCCAGTGATAGATTAATCACCTTTTTTTTTTTATCTCCAACAAAGAAGAACTGGCAAATCGTTAATTTGCTGCTTCTTAAAACTGGCTTGACAGCAAGGGTGTTTTGATGTAGAAGAAGAAGAAAAACAAGTAAAGTTCTTTTTTTTCCTCCTTCATTTATTTTACCTGCCTGGGGAAACACACACACACACACACTGTGTTATATTAAGCCCATGATAAAAGATTCTTGAGAGCCAGCAAAATCTCTGTTTGCCCTGCGTCCCTCCATAACTTCCCAAATCCCCTTCCTCCTCTAAACCTTGGCCTTTATGAAGAGGTGTAGAAAGATATGTCAGCTCTCCTCCACGGACCATTGTCATGATGGATGGGAGAGAAACAATTAGTATAATTAAACAAATGTCCTGTTTATTGCTCTGGGGAGGAGACCAGGCTGGCCTGGAAGACACACCGGGTCCAGAGAAAGCCTGGAAAGTCTTCTTAAAGCTTTGCCAATCCCGAGTGGTCAGTTTAAAAGGAGAGGCTCCTGCAGAGAATAAATATAAGCCTTGCTAAGCCAAAGCTTCTTGAGATCTCAGGTGGACACTCTTGCCAAGCCCGTCCGACTTGCTCTGAATTTGGATCAACCAAGATCCTCTAGATGAAAACCGAGCCACAGAAGCAGAGTCTCCAAAAAAGATACTCCGCTTTGATTTCTGAAGGCAGTAAGAGCCTCACACTCTGGGCTCTGGGGAACAATTAGGCTGTGAGGTTTATCCTCAGTTCTGTCCAAGAGTTGCAACCCACCTGGTGTCTTTGGATAGGGGACCACTAGGGGATGCCAGACTGAAAATAAACCTTCCTAGAGCAGTGGTTCTCAACCTGTGGGTCGGGACCCCATTTGGGGTCGGACGACCATTTCATGGGGGTCGCCAAACAACGCAGTCCGCCATTTTTCCCCCCTTTTCCTTAGCTGTGATACTCCCTTTTATTCTATTGGCTTTTGAAAGCCAATAGAATAGACTCTCTTGAATAGAGTCTAATTCTATTGGCTTTCAAAAGCCAATAGGAATTGTCCAGGCTGTCTCTGCCCTGCTGAGCCCGCCAAAAGTCCCCTTCTGCAAACGGTGCTGCACCAGTTGAGTAGTCCTCGACTTACGACCGGTTGAGTAGTCCTCGACTTACGACCGGCATTAAAAAGGTTGAGAACCACTGATCTAGATGAAAACCAAGCCACAGAAGCAGAGTCTCCAAAAAAGATACTCCGCTTTGATTTCTGAAGGCAGTTAGAGCCTCACACACTGGGCTCTGGGGAGCAATTAGGCTGTGAGGTTGATCCTCAGTTCTGTCCAGGAGTTGCAACCCACCTGGTGTCTTTGGATAGGGGACCACTAGGGGATGCCAGACTGAAAATAAACCTTCCTAGAGGGAAATGGGAACGAGCTGCCTCTGAATTCTTCCCAAGATAATCCCACTCTTTGAAGCCACTGGGTACTGAGAGTTATCTCTTCACCCCTGGCTGCCTGCCTGCTTTTGTCTTTTTTTTTAATCGTAGGCATCAAGCCCTCCACCCTTCCTCCTTGCCAAGCTCAAGAGGCAGATGCAATTTGGGGAGGGTCCCAAAGAAACAGCACTGATTACCTTTCATTGACAATTCCCTGCCAGTTCAATGAGCATCTGGAAGCAATTGTCTAGAGCCACAGATATATATCATGATCGAGGGGGAAAGCTGAATGGATGCAAACCACAGGCACATTATCCGCACACCGGGTGGGTTTACGTGGAGATGGCAGTGAATTCAAATGAAATGTATCGTCTACATTTGTGGGCTGCCTCAAGAGCAAGGAGCGGAATGATCTGGGGATTACGCCTCTCCAGCATCCACACTGGCCTATGCAGTTTTTTTAAGGGGGATAATATTAAAAAGCGCTGATAATAAACTTAGTTAGGTTGCACCCACCTTCCAGGGTTAAATGCCATTCCAGCTCTGCAAAATTCTTCCATTTGGGTTTTATTCTGGCTCTTCCACATGTCAGCATCCCGGGAGGGGGCTTATATTTAGGACAGGGATAGGCACACCCACACCAACCCACACACGAGATTTATTTGCAGAGCTTTCCCACAACCCCCCTTGCCTATAGAGCATCCGATGAGAGCCGGACTACCACACACACAGCTTAATCAGCATTTCCTTGCATGAATTGTGTTATCATCACCGGTAAGTAAAAAGCTGCTGCTGGAAGTTTGAAGGCACTGCAGTTTAGTTTCCAGATTTATTACAAGTAGCCCTTGACTTAACCGCCACAGTTGGGGATCCAAAATTTTCCATTATGATTTTGCCACTTTTTTTTTGGTCACAGTTGTGAAACGAATCACGAATTCGGCTTCCCCCACCGATTTTGCTCGACAGCTGGGAAAGCCCCAAATGGTGATCGTGTCACTTTTTTCAGTGGCCTTGTGACTTCGTATACTCGTTGAACTAATGGTTGTTAAGTCGAGGAGTGTCAGTAAATCAGGGCAGTTGTCCCCAAACGAATTTCACAATTTGGGAGGATTTGAGGACCTCTACAATGCCCTTCCCCCCCCCTCCCATTTTGATAAATCAGATGAAGTCAACCCAGCCCATCTCCTATACTAATCTGAATCAGCAATTATTTGCATGCCTTATGTAAGGTTACAATCAGTGGAAATAATGCATCAATCTTTGGGATGGCAAAATGAGACAGAATAGTTGCATCTATGAATGTTCTACAAAATGTTAGCAACCAAGGTTCTGGCAGGGAACCCACAGCAGAAAATAAGGAAGATTGCTTCTGCATGCTCGTTTGTTCTTTTATCTTTTTTCTTCTGGCATTTGTTTGCGGGGAAAAACTGTGATAAAATTAAACTGAAATTACACTTCCGTATTTAGAAGTGTCAGCGAGCTAGATGGCTGGGTCAAGAGTTAGGGAGCTGTTTCGCGTAGATATTTCCCCAGACTTCCAGCAGGTAGAAAAACCAAATGTTAGTCAGATCTGATTTTCTTTTTTTTTTTTACAACTTACCATCCTGGGGCACTGCCTGCGGGAAGTAATTCACTGGTTTATCTACAAAGCAAAAGAAAAAAAATGGAGGCGTAAATATGAGAAAAGGTTTGTAGCCCCTGAACTGTTTTTCCTCCCCTTATTTGCAAAGAATTATAAATTATAAATCCTTCATACAATTGGCTTCTGAAGACCTCAGGAGGAGTTTTGAGAACTGCTCAGTGCACACCGAGTGAGGCTGCCTGTTGCTTCCCTGGACGATGCTCTGATCTTACCTGCTTCCAAATGCTGTTTTGTTTGGGGAGGTGCAAATAGCCTGTGATGAACTTGAAGCAGACACGCTCCAGTTCATCCTGAGCTGCGTTAGAGAATTACATCCCCTCTTTCCTGCCCAGGCTTTAAAGCAGATTGTTGGGGGCAATGTAAATACATATATACATTGCTTACTGGTGTACACCGCTTAGAGAGTGCTTGCACTTAAAGCGGTATATAAGTCTCATAAATAAAATAAATAAATTAATGCCTTCCCAGAAGGACACCAAGAACAGGCATTCACACAGAAACATGCACACATGCCTCTAGGACAGTGGTTCTCAACCTCTGGGTCGGGACCCCATTTGGGGTCGAACGACCATTTCACGGGGGTCGCCAAACAACGCAGTCCGCCATTTTTCCCCCCTTTCCTTAGCTGTGCTACTCCCTTTTATTCTATTGGCTTTTGAAAGCCAATAGAATAGACTCTCTTGAATAGAGTCTAATTCTATTGGCTTTCAAAAGCAAATAGGAATTGTCCAGGCTGTCTCTGCCCTGCTGAGCCCGCCAAAAGTCCCAGTCTGCAAACGGTGCTGCACCAGTTGAGTAGTCCTCGACTTACGACCGGTTGAGTAGTCTTCGACTTACGACCGGTTGGGGGTCGCGGCATTAAAAAGGTTGAGAACCACTGCTCTAGGATCAGACTATCACCCTGCATGCCCAGGAAAGAAATTTTTCTGCGATGATGAAGTCAAGGGAGACACATGGATTTCAAGTTATGGCAGTTCCTCTAATAAAATACATCTTTTCCTGAGCCAGCAGAGGTCAGGAACTTGGCCGCAGCTGCTGGGGGCTAGTCAATTCATTAAGCTCCTTTCTGACTCCAAGTCAAATCAAACTATGTATTAGTTATTGCACCTCCCAGGATAGTGATCCATCAAACCCAGTTTCGCTGATTGGTAAACCGGGTTCCGACGGAGACGCCTTTCATTCAATCAAGTGACGCAGAGCGGACAAGAAAGGCTTTCAAATCAACGCAACAGGGGTGCACAAGGTAGCCAGGTGGCTGATATGTTTAAACCAATAAATCACGGACAAAACTAGGCAAGCAACATTTGAAGCGCCAGTGGAAAAGAGAACTCCGGAGGGCGGAAATGGAAGCGCTGGGTGCGAGGAGGCTCTTTTAAGGAACGCCCTCCCTTTGGAGGGGGGGGGCTTGTGATACGGTCCCAGAATTCAACCCTAGCGCAAGGAAATGTGGGGCTCCCATCGTCTAAAGGACTCTTTCCCTTTTACGTTCATCTGATGTGATATAAGACGCAGTCCGTCAACGTGGGCAAGCAAAAGCGTGAACGGTGGAGAAAGCGCCTCTGATGTGATCACAACGGGCTCATGAACATTGCCGAGTCCTTGAATGGGAAGCGACGGGACTGGGAAGTTGAGAAAGAAAGAAACAGGAGGTAGCAGCAAGACGAGAAACTGTTGACGAGAAAAACCCACTAGATCCAGCCAAGAAACCACACCAGGAGTCTCGTTCGGCTCAAGGGAGATTCTACTTCTTTTCTTGCGAGGGTTCTAAGCGACCCCCCAAAAAACAAAGCCCCTAAAGTGGGGTCAGATGGGCAACTGCGTGTAGACAGGATCTGGACCTGGGCAATGAATTTAGCCCATTAGTGGTTTGGATTAGCATAATGGTTGGGAACTGGGCCGGGGATGGGACGTGGGAAGACAGTTTTTGTAGCCAACAATAAATGAAGGACACACACACACACAGCCACACACACAGCCTTGGCCAAGTAAAGTCAGTTGGCCCTGCCCAAATTTGCTACGACTGCAACCGGTGGTAACCATTAGGATAGCCACCTATTAGTTTATTTTTTTTTTTTTTTGCTATAGCCACACGCATACGGATCTCCTGCACAAGAACAAGAGGGATTCCCAGAAGACAGATCTGGTGGGATCTCAGCACGATCGTCCCTGGCGCCTGAGCCCAGTCCTGGAGTTTGCAAAGCTCAAATAAAAAAGGAGAGACCCTTTTTTTCCCTCCTCCTTCCTTTTCAAAGCCCTTCCAAGGTGTCCTGTTTTTGGAATGGGAGACCCAGCAGGCTTCCCCTAAGGGGGCACAATTCAGAGGGAAGGCTGAACTACATGTTACTCACAAGCCCACCCACCCCCCAACGAGAGCTCAAGACTCCAGAGGTGCTTGCTTGTTTACCCAAAAACTATTTTGGGAGGCGTGACTAAGAAAGAAACACTTTTTTTTTCGCCCGTGGCTTTTTATGGCTCCACGTTCTCTCCGCCGCCCACCCGTTGCTACACACGTAGGGAGTTTGGGGGCCTTTGCAAGTCCTGAGCAATGAGCATGGAGCAGATTGGGGGCATTACGTGGAAGCAGACGGGGGAGGCGAAGTTTGGAGTTGCACAGAGCTCTTCGTCAAGCAGGATCTTCTGGGCGACAGATGGTCCTGCCAGATTCAGAAGCGCTTCCACAGCCTTAGCCCACGCGGGCGTCAAACCGCAGAGGGCTCCTTCTCAAGTTCGATTTGAGACGTTATTGCAACGAAAGGGGAGTCTCATCCTTTGTTTTGAGGGGGCCACTTAGATGCCACTGGGAGCCCCGTCAGCACGCCGCCAAACTTTTTCCCGTGTTTGGGGCTGGGCCTCCCGGTCCAAAATGGTATAGTACCCCTACATATGGAGGCTTTGTTTGTAGCTAAGACCTCCTGTGGATTGTGCCAATGATTCAGCTGGCTCAACAGAATGTCTCAGAGATGCTAAAAGGAAACCACAGCAGAGGGTGGGGGAAAGAGACACACAGAGAGAGATGATAGATAGATGAGAAGGAAATATGATAGATAGATAGATAGATAGATAGATAGATAGATAGATAGATAGACAGACAAACAGATAGATATGGATGGATAGATAGGTAGGTAGGTAGACAGGTAGGTAGGTAGGTAGGTAGACAAACAGATAGGTATGGATGGATAGATAGTTAGACAGATAGATAGATAGGTAGGTAGGTAGATAGACAAACAGATAGATATGGATGGATGGATAGATAGATAGGTAGGTAGGTAGACAGGTAGGCAGGTAGGTAGACAAACAGATAGGTATGGATGGATGGATGGATAGATAGATAGATAGATAGACGAGAGAGAGATGAGAGAGATAGACAGAGATAGATTTTTGAGAAGGTAACTGAAGATGGCCACACCACTGTCCCACCTTAGCCTATCCATTGCAGGGGGCTCTGCCCAACAACACAGACTGTGTAGCTGAGCATCAGGTTCAAGAGAACGTGTGTGTGTGTGTGTGTGTGTGTGTGTGTGTGTGTGTGTGTGTGTACTTTCATTTAAAATTCTGCTCTGGGAGAGATGAAAGCAGGCTGGGAAACAGCGCTTTGGCTGCTACTCAACAGGCAAATGTTTACCTGCCTAGCCATCCTCCCCAATTATCTGGGGATAAGAGCATCATCTGATCAGCCATCTTGGCATAGATCAAAGGGCCAGCATCCAGCCTCTGGTAGCAGAAAGCTCCTAAGTAGACAGGAAGGCATTTCCTCCTCAGCTGATTAATATGCAAAGTTCCACTGCCAAGGCAGGTTGCTTCCTTCTACACAAAGCCACAACCCAGCTTGACGCCCAGCTCCTGAATTTAGCTCCTAGTCATGGGGAACTGGAGCTGCGACTCAAAAGGATGGAAAACATTGGGAGGGGGGCTCAAGACGAAGCCTGGTCCCACCGGTCCAGAGGAACGACTTCCGGGAAAAGATGAGGAATTACATGCACTAAAAGGAGACCAAGCGCCCCTTCCGTGAACCCCCAACCTCCCTTCCCAAAGGCGAAAGTCATTGCTGACAAGCCAGCCTGCCTCCTCCCCACTTCGTTTCGGCTCCTCCCCTCCCCACGCGACGACGACGACGCTGAGGGGGACACCTACAGGTGTTGAGGAAAAGCAGGACGGCGAACCCCAGTGTGGACGTGGCTAAGAGAATCAGGCAGATGTTACAGGGGATCATGAAGTAGCGCACCACCAAGGAGACTTTGTGCTGGTACATCCGGTCCCGATCCAAAGAGCCCGGCCCCACGGGGTACTGGCAGGCAGTCATGCCGTGGACGGGGCTCCAGGCCCGCCCTGGGAGATCCAGGGCAGCGGTTGCACAGGGTCCCCCCAAACCCCTCCAAGACGGTCCTTAGCTAAGTGGTCTCGGGGACGTCCATCCTTTGGTTAGCATGCCCGGGGCGCTTAGTGTTCGGAAGGAAAGCCCGTCCTGGCCCAGGCCATCTTCAGACAATAATCCAAGGCCGGCGATAAACCAGAGTTAGAGGGTTCGGGGACCCCTCAGATGGATCCCAGGGTCACCCCCAAAGCAGTCCTGAAGGTTGAGAGACCGCTTTTAGCTCCGGGAAAGAAACGCCTTGCTCACGAAGCTCAAAGGCACCCCCATGTTGAAAAAGAGACACCCCCGATGCAAAACACCGCTCAAGCAAGCTTTGGCAGAGTTGCTGCGGGGTGGGGTGGGAAAGGCGGAGGAGAAGGGGGCTGGATAATGATTGTTGTCCAGATCCGTCCAAGGAAGGAAGACGGGTCGTTCTCCAGGAGAAGAAGAGAGGAGAGGAGAGGAAGGAAGGTCCTCTGCAAACAGAGTGTGTGTTAATTGAGTCTTCAGAAGTTCTCGGAAAGGCGTGGCTCTCTTTATTAAACCATCAACTTCGCGGCTGAGCGGTCCTCATAGCGCAACGCTTTCCTTCCAGCCATTTGAGCCACGGGGGACACGGGTGGTAGGCGAAAAAAGCATGGAGCAGACA